TTCACAAACTGCACAGCCGATTGCACAAGGATGTTCGCAGGTCGAAGATGCTGCCCACACCAATTCTCACGCTCCCTCTTGTACCGGGCCTCGCCGATGGCTTTCAGAAGGCGACGCAAGGAGCAAATCGCCAGGTCGCAACCTAGGAGAACCGTCAGAGAACGGATGACATTGCTTGTATGCACAGAGCTCTGAAGCTTTCGGCCCGTTGGCTGGCTGCTGCAGCCTACCAATCCCAGAATGGTCCATTGTCTATCATCTACAGATTTAAGCAAGATACTGAACATCCAGAAGGCGAAGGTCGAATCTAACGACCCGCTTCCCACCAACATGAATGCGCTGGAAACGCCAGATCTTGACAGGAAGGCTAGTGCATGACCACATGGAAGCTGCCTCCTTGGTGCAGGCCTCAAGCACAGCAAGTGCTAGTGAGCGCCAGAACACAACCCGTCTGCAAGCTTGGCATGCTGGCGGTGACAGCGGCGTCGTTCGCAGCCGAGACCCACGAGCAGCTTCAACCTCGACAGCTCCTGGCAGGTCAATGTCTGGGCTTGGGCAACCTCGTCTTGGTTTTTGCAGCCGGGTGCCTGTAGAACCAACTTCCCAGCCGGATTCTGTCGGACACACTATGACTGTTGTTTATGTTTACGAGGTTGGTGCAGGCAATGACAGATGGCTATCCTCGGCACCTTTGGCCACGGCGCTCCGTCGACGGTGGAGTTCCTCGCGCGAAGCACGGGGAGTGAAGCCCTCGAGCACATGCTCAGATACACACGGAGTCAACCTACTGTTAAATCTTAAGTCTTAGGCCTTGAGCTGCTGGGTTGTCTTCCTGAGGCTTCCAACGCTCTGGCTCCTTGTCCGAATATGATTTGCACGCCAAACGTCTAAACTTCGACTGAGGATTTCAGCACTAACAGGGACAAGCCTGGCGAGGTAACTCCGACGACGCACTCCGACTGAAGCTGGCAAAGTTGGCTCGGCGAGGGGGCCCTCGGAACCTGAGGCCCTGACTCTGTGTAGTCGTCCTGCCTCCTCCTCAGAGACGGCATGTGAGCTGGAACTCTCTCTCTGACGCCCTGTTGATGCAGCCACTCTGGGCCACGCTAGAACGGCACTCTAGATTCTCTAGATGTCTGCTCCTGATACTGTCAACGGCGGGAAATCGCGAGCATGCTGCCTTCATCCACTGCTCCGCTTCAGAAAGCAGCGCGGCAGGCGATTCAAGCCTCGGTCTCGCCGGCTATCGGACGTGGAAAACAAGCTTCGTGTAAGGGTCCGGTCACACTTGATGCTCTGCATGCTTACATGCATGAAGCAAGCGCCTGTCGTAGCATGAAATGCATCAAACATCAGTCGCGAAACGAGACCACTAACGAGTAATCGGCCGTCGCTCCTGAGCAGCGGCGAATACTAAGGTGCAGCTTACGGGGCTCCGGAGCTACTTCCTCCTCCGCATGTGTCACCCGGGCAGGTGACTGCCTGGCAGTGCCCGGCTTCACACATGGAATGTGACGTCGCAGAATAGTTGTTGAGTTCCTTTGTGGCTGGCTTTTGCAGCAGCAAGTCTTCTTCAGCTACCAGCTCAATTATAGTTGTCCTCCTCCCATCACTGCTGCTCGTCAGCACCAGAAATGAGGTCTGGAGCTGTTTGCCCTAAAAACCTCATCTCTGGACTCTGGAGCTTTCGACCTCGAACCTTGTGGACATCTCGGAGGATCTTCCCGGCGAGTGAAGAAAGCTCAGCACCTCCTGGAGACGCGAAGCTTGAGCCACGGCTGAGTTGAAACTGACGGCCAAAGCAGCAACTACGACCCCGAAATGTCTGTGACGCCTCCTCCGCCGGAGTTTCGTCGCTGTGGAGGTGACTGAGGCCAGCGGCTTTGCGTCCGAACCTGAGCTGGAAGGTTGAGCCAGAACGAAGTGCGCAAAGCAGCTCTGTGTCGTGAAATGTCGTGGGAACATGCTGGAGCAGCCTAAAGGCAAGCCCGAAATCCAACGGCTGCAATTCTTTTTGCTACTAGTAACCAAGTACCGTACCAATCATGGACACCCCAGAGTAGACGATGGCTTGCTTGCAGCCGTGTCTTGGAGTCCCGGCTCCCAGACCCCCTCGGTGCCGTTGGGGTGAGCCTCTGCCTCTGCCCAATGGCAATGGCAGATCGCCGGAAGCGATTCCTCGCATGGCACACCAATGCTTTTATCGGTGGGCCAGGGCAAGAAACGAAAGGATGCTAGAGGGAATTTTTCTGCAGAGAACTATGCTCACAGGCGAGGCTCGAAAGACACATGACTGGAATGCAATCAATTACACTCTCACAACACGGACCGCAATCAATCACGGAACTCAGTTTCCCGTGGAACATGATAAGCTAGAGGGAATTGGGTTGAATGGTGTTGGCCGTCAGTGATGGGCCGGGTTGGTCGTTTCTGTCTGTCTTTGTCATTACTGCCCTCCTTCTGCTCCCGACGATTGGAGTTTGCTGCTCCACAAGGGAGCAAGTCGCGATGGGAACTCTTCCAAAGCAGAGTTGCCACGGCCCGAGAGGCTCCCCCATCTCCGGGGCCGAGGCGATGCCAGAGATGCCCTCTTCGCGGATTCGGATCCTCCAGCAGGTTTGGCCGAGGCTTTAGAGCTTTGGCGACGCTGAGCTGCCGAACGTGAAGGACCCCCGCGACCCTCCACCCCGTCCTGGAAGCTTCGTCACCTGCTTCGGCTTTCCCCGACGGCGACTGCACGACTCCACTCTTGTCTGCCGCTTGGGTGTCGCCTTCTGGCCTTCGATTGCCACAAGTTGCAAGGTTGCGTTGCTTGCTTCTGCTGTCAAGACCGGGCTCAGCTTTGCTTTGCCGTGAGGGCTTCGCGAACTTTGCGTGCCAATGCCTCCAGGCCATCTCCTGACCCTCTGAATGACTCGCATCCAATCCGCAAAAGAGCACTAGCACTTCTTGCTGCCGTAAAGCAGAAGGGGCTCTCCCAGCATGTCCGAGTTCGGTGATGCCAGGAGATATGGCCTTCGAAAATGAACCGTAGAGCTGGGCGACCCAAGCACATTCAGAAATGGTGTTTCAAAGATGCGAAGGCATCTGTGCTCGCAAGGCGTGCTTCATGCGCATCTTACCTGGGGTTCCTGCGCTGCTAGACTTATTATTGACAGGTGTTGGTGTGGCCTGGGGTATCAAGCTCGGAGCTTGCTTAGAACAGGCTGAGAAGCTGGCTGCCGAATGTTTCAGGTGCCTTTCCTACGCCAAGCTCCAATTTTTTCCGCTTTTCCGAGCTCGCTCATGAAGCAGGGCAACTTCTGACATCGAGAGTCCCGAGGCCCCTGGCTGCGCGTGATCTCCGCTTGTACCGGGAATAAAGCCGGAGACTGAGACAGGCGCCTGCCTGCAGCAGCGATGACAACCATGGTGAGGATGCTGCAGCTACTGCAGCTACTGCTGTTGATGATGACAGTGTTGAGCTTACCGACACGAGGCAAGAATCTACGGAAAAATGTCCACGAACTTTACTGTCAACATCTGTCAACGAAACAACCACCGTGCAGCCAGCCTCAGTTCTCCGGCTGCATCGCACCCTGGCTGGCCACGTGTTGTGGTTGCCTGAGCCGGCCTGCTGGCTAACTTGAACATCTCGCTTGATATCAACAGAGACATGAAACTGCATGACTTTTGGAATCCACTCTCAGACACTCTCACGCAGCTTCTCAGAATGTTGCCCCGCCTTGGCTGTTTTTCCACTCCAGCCTCGCCCTCTTGCATGAGCATGGGTGGCCTCTTTCAGAATTGGCAGAAAGGGAACGAAGAGCGTCCACTCTGGACTCATTCGCCTTTTCGACTTCTTCTGCACTTGTTGAGCCGAATGTGGCTTCTGAGCCCACCACGCAGCCAGCCTCATCTCTGCAGCTCCATCGGACCCGGGCTGACCACGTGTTGTGGCCGCCTGGGCCGGCCTGCGGGCTAACTTGAACGTCTGTGTTGACGTGACGAGAGTTGGGGTAATCGCTTCTTCAGCGACGAACTGGGTGAGCTGCAGTATAATCCTTCCTTGTTACCACAGCAGAATAAGCCAGAATGCTCCCTCTGGACTTATCGCAAAGGGAACGAAGTCTGTTTGCCTTACGCTTGCAGCCTTTAGCGCTTCCCGTGCTCTTACCACAGAGAAACTGTGGATGCGGACTTGTTTCGCCGAAAGTGCTTTCTGAATCTGGGGTCAAGATCTTCGAGGGAATCTATGCCGCGGAGATCCAACGCTTCGCCACCGAATTCGACATTGGCACGTGCCACCGCTGCAACAGCTCGAAAGCGGTGAGCCTCGGTTCTCCGGCTGCATCGGA